AGACTAGATAGTATGATAATAAAATTTCATACGTAATATAAAACATTCGTTATGTATCTACGTATCAATATGAAATGAAAATCCCGAAAACATACGTTTTCTCTAACTTACAAATTAAGTGTCTTTGTATAGCATTTTAATTATTTAAGCTAATTGTTTTACTTAAACTAATAAACCCTACAACAAAATTAATAAACTTCCAAAACAATCACATAAACCTAAACATATTCTAATACAAACTTTCATCACGTATTCACTATAGTTATTTTTCACCTTTATATCATATTAACAACTAGAAAAATAAGTTTCAACATCTAACTATATAAATCCACTTCAATTTCCAACCTTATCAACCTCTTACAAACTATTTTCACGTTAAAAAGTATCCTCTATCCTTTCCTTGTGCTCTAGCCTAGATAGTCTCGAGTATACAGAACAGATTTAAATAAAAATTAGGTACAGTTAGGAAGAAAATCCGACACTATGCCGGTGTGGCGCAAAACTAGCCTTACTAAAATGTCGACGTTTATGTCCTCTCACTAATCATTCTGACACTTCACATTGTAATGAAAGCGCGCCAAAGGATTCCAATTATTAATGTCTTAAAGTACACAGATGTGTACCAAATTACATTTAAATCGGTTCAGTTGTTTTGGTGCAAAAAAGAAACGGACAGACAGAGTTATTTCCGCATATTATTAGCAAGGATTATAACGGAATACGGATAGTAGGGATGAGCTCCCACGTGATTAAATACAATTGCAAATTGTTTATAATGATAAAATAAAAATATTTTCATTCACAATCATTAAAATGGTGAATCAAAGGATAATTATTACGCCACTCAGGCTTCCTTCGCCCTTGTTCTACTTACGTAAAAGAAAGTCTGACTTTGAACCATAAATGTCACACGTTTTCGATCATAGCTTATGTCAAGTAACTGAGAGGGGAATAAAAATAATCTTACTTCTTACTTATATTATAAATGCGAATGTTTAGATGGTTGGATGGATGGATGTTTGTTTAATAGTATCTCCAGAACTACTGAATGAATCTCAATGAAATTTGGCACACATGTAGAACATAGTCTGGAAGAACACATAGACTACTAATTAAGTTTTTTTTAATTCTGCATAGACGTAGTCGCGGACAGCTAATTTGGTAATAAATTCAAGATCATTAGGTGAACGAGACGTTTTTTTTAATAATAACTGTATAAAATATTGCAATTATGTTCCTTTACGATGAAAATAATCAGGTTTTTAGTTTTATTTTATTTAACTTATAGAGGTGTTTTGTTAATTAAGAAATAAACAAAACATATAGGTTTTCTTGCTTCAAAATAGGTCATAGTGAAGACGGTTGTCATGTTAAAAAAATCGTAGTTATTTATGCGTTTGCGCATGCTACTTTTATAAGTTTGAAGTATGTATATTGCCTTGTAAATTAAGAAAAGAAATATAAATATTATTTTATGAGAAATCTAATTCATAAAAAACTTAACATCACATAAACTTACCAAATATGACAGAATACTACAAAAAAAAAGCCAATTTACATTTTCTAATCAATATGACAAATACGTGAACACAATAAAACTATAAACACACGAACACGGAAGTTATTTTTTTATCTATATTTTTTTTTAAAACGTCCACTAGTGCGGGGAAAGTGTCGACGGTCGATTTCTCCCGCGACGGCGAATGACTGGCCACTCGATGCATCGGAGTTGCGAAATCTTTGCCACTAGTGTCGTATGCGTTACGCATGCTTTTTTCTTTAAATTACACACTTCACACTAAAATATATCTTATAAATATATATAACATTATAAATGTGAATGTTTAGATGGATGGATGTTTGTTTGTTTGATGGTATCTCCAGAACGACTGCGTAGATTTCGCTGAAATTTTACTTAGTTATAGAACATAGTCTGGAAGAAAACATATGGTGTTTATTAAGTTTTTTTTTAAATTCCACGCTGACTTAATCGCGGGCGACTACTAGTTCGATATTATTTTAAATATAATATAATACAAGGTAAAATGAATCCCAACGGTTAAAAGATCGATAAGGAGGCTCTCAATTTTTTTTTACATAGAACAGAAAGGAAAGCAGAGATTTTGGGATGACGGTCACATTCAGGGGAAGGCAATTTAGCAGGTAAGTTTTTTTATAAAATTTCAACTTTGCAGAATCATGTTATATAAAAGAATCAGTTTTGTTAGGTAACATATTGTCATAGAAATACTCAGAAGTTGTTGTTTTCCCTGTCGATAACTGAATGAACGATTAACCATCACTATATATCCACATGCACAACGATGGGTCTGTTTGTCGTCGACGTGTTGTGCAAGCCGACGTTTTGCACAACACTGAGCGTGTGACATAACTTTTATGATTTGCGAGTTTAGCACAGAGATACTGCCAATTAAAAATCACTCTTAAAGCCATTTGGAAAAGGTTGTATTTACATTGTAATCAATATAATGTTTTTGTAGTCAGAAAGTTGGTAAATATAAGATTAGATGGGTAATTGACGTTAGATGAGCTAAATACGATGCTTCCCAGGATTATGAAATAGAAAATCTGTAGCCTGACGAGAAACACCTCGCCATTATACTGGAAAAATATGAAACTAATTTCTTTACGCGTATTAGAATGTGATGTAATAAAGAAGCCGATTCAAGCACGCCGAAGCTGGGATTTTTATATTATATTCTTGGTTAGGCTGTAGTATAAACTAACAGACTATAGCTTTATTACTAAACCTTTGGTCTTCTTCTTGTCAGCCCTGAGTCATCCACTGTTGAGCATAGGCCTTCCCTAAAGGTCGCCACGATGACCGGTCCTGTGCTACCTGCATCCAGGATGCTCCCGCAACCTTGACCAGGTCATCGGTCCATCTTGCGGGAGGCCTGCCCACGTTTGGTCTTAGTTTCCTAATATTTTGTCTAAGAATAAAGCACTTCGAAAAGATTACAATTGTTAATTTTGTTTGATGATGTAAACAATTGAAGCAATGATTCATCTAGACAAGGTCTTTTTACGTAATTTGAGCCTTAATTGATACAAATATTTTGGTTTAATTCGTTTACAAATTGCGTTTACATACCACATTTACACATGTTGAAATCAAGTGAACGTTAATTTTATGATTAAACATTACTTAACAATACTCTTTTTTACGTAACTTTAATCTCTGCTTACCCCTTTGAGTTACAGGCGTGTAAATTATTAGTCATAATATTTTAGAACAGAGTACAACTTTATAACAAAAAACAACGTGACTCGACTTTGTTCCAGTCAAGTGAACACAATTTGTAACTAATATTTTTTTCAACGTTTTAGTCATATTCAGCCAATTTAAAAGTCTATTTCGATTTAAATATTAAAGCTAGTAGCTAGCTAGTTATGTGGGAACTGGGTTTGTTCGAACTTGACCTAGAATTAAATTCCTACAACAATGGAAACCAATAATTGCAATTAATGACCGCATGTTTTATTTTTCTTTACGGTCTATTCAAGTCTCCGTTAATTCTCTAAATGTCCTAAGTCCTAATATATTTTTAGGTATTTAATAAAACAAGCGAATAATGGATTCGTTTATTATTGAATTATAATTATTTTTCACACAAACCTCTAATTGATAAAGCATAAAAAAAGAATTGAAGTTTTTATTTAAAAAAATAACCATGAAGTTACGTCAACCATTTTTAATGCTTACAGCAATTCAAATTCAATAGACAACAATTGTCTTTTCTGCTTTTAGAGATTCTTAAGCTGTTTAAATAATTTCTGCAATTTTAAGAAAAATCGAAATGACCAAGAGAAGTTTATTTGTTTTTAGTTAATCTGAATTACAACAAAAACAATGTTGAACATCTATTTTTTTTTTAATTATTACTTTTAATTTATTTTGCGCGCGAATTATACAGAGTGAGAACAGTGCCATCTTGTGACGTATAGAAGGATCTCTAAAAACAAAACGTTTTATTATAATTCGAATATTTTTTTCAATAAAATTACTTACCATGGGTTTATTAAACCAAAATCTTTTTATATCTTTTACAGAGATAACAATATGCTTTAAACGGAGATTTTAGTCTCAATAACCCACGGTCATAAAGCTACTGAATCCAATTATTAAACTGCTTGTTCACGCGCGAATTGGTTTTTATTCTTGCGCACCGAATTTACATTTAATTGTGTTGAGTACCAATTGACCAAATCGCAGTTACTATAAAAACACAATCCTTTGTAGTAATGTTCAATTTTCCCGGAATCACATTAAAAAAGAATCGAAATACAAAAAATAACCAGGAAGTATTGAGTTTTAAAGTTCATTTAACTTTAAGATTACTTTTGTATAATATATTTTGGCCTGGTTGAGTATGCCTTAGCATGGTTCGGTTGACGAATATTGTAGTAACGAAAAAAAATCAATTGATTAGATGGACTTTAACGTAGAATATTTGAATTTACATCATAAAGAAATAATTGTCTTCTCCATATCATAAATAACGTAAGTCTCGGTTATATCTGAGTTGATGCTAAAGTTCCAAACCAGAATATGAATAGCAAACAAATTGTACTGAAAGTATAGTGAAATTTGTTACAGGCGTTTCACCCTTTGTACAGTATTTGAGTAAAATTTTATTCTTCCCTCATACGATAGAAAATAAGGTTTCTCCGAACAGTTTTAGATATATGATTATCTAAGGTATTATGTATATAATAGATGTAAGATAAACACATGTTTTTCTTTTATGACAAATTTACCATTTAATAAATACGATGTAACATATACTGAGGTCCGATGCCCTCGTACAAAGTCCGCGCATCGACCCAATTTTAACAACAGACGAATTATTACACAATTTTATGTTGCCGGAAACTCGTCACAATTTTCTTGTCTATAGTTAGAAATTATAATTAAATTTTTGAACTGGTAACCCCAAAGCGACGTGGAGAAGAAAACACAAGTTTGTCTATTCGCCATTAAAATGGCGTCATCGAAGGAAACCTATTGTTTGTGTGGTCAGCCGTATAACATTGGACAGTTTATGATAGAATGTGACTGTTGCCGTGAGTGGTTCCATGGAAGGTAATATCTTAACGATATTAAGTTTTCAGTTAAACTCTCGTTGTATGTGAGAAAAAGTGGTTTTAACATGAAAGACACCTTGCTGTTCGGCCATCATATTAGTCGTGATTGTTTTAGTGAAATTTATTATTATTTATTTACTGTAATTCAGTATACACTATCAATCTATTGCCGGAATAGGCTGTTTGTTATATTTCATCAGTGTAATTTGAGTTCCAATGTTTTATTTTTTTGTTTACATGTGTGGTCACCATGGATTTTACAAAGGGCTTATTTTTATTTTGTCTTTTACTCGTTTTGAGAGACACCTTTTGATATATTCTGTTTGCGGTTCATTGAATTATTCTATCAAACACAAATAAATATCCATTTTCCTAATTATATCTTAACTTTTATCGAAATATTTTGCATACATGGGTTAATTTCATAACACAGTTGATGCTTAGTTTATGAATATTTAATTTCAGTTGTGTGGATGTAAAGATATATCATTCGGACGATATAGACAAGTACCATTGTCCAAAATGCGCCCAAACTTACGGACCCTCTGTGTGTAAGTAATTTTTTTATATATTTCATCTGTTTAGTGTTTTCAATTATGCAAGTTATGTACAAATAGATAGTATATTACTGCATCCCTCCGGTGAAAGGTTAATTATTGAATATGTCAATGGTTATTCTTATCACCATTCTAAACACTAATTCATAGTTTAAAATTTATGCTCAATATAAAAGCTAAACACAAATATATAGGAATGTAGCTATAGCATTAAAGTATTTTCTTTGATGTATTATTTTATTTCTGACTATATAAGAGGAGAAATTACAATGCAAAATTATTAAAACTTACACTTCTCATTTTATTATGCAATTTTGTCATAATATAGCCATATGTTTAACTTTATCAATTCTTAAACAGTTGTTTTCAATAAAACTGTATGAAATTAACAATTTCATCTTACACAAAATAACATGTATGCAATACAATGTAAAGAAAATTGATTTTATTGCTTTTACACTATGAAAAATAAACTTTGTTATAATTTTAAATTGAATTTTATGTATAATACTCAGATACTATCAGTGATTTGTTAAAGAAAACCTTTCCATATTACAGTGGAAAGGCTTTTCTATGTTTGTTTTTATTTACCTGATTTTACTGATAAACTAGCCTGCGAGTCTGACCGCTCAGAATTAAAAAAGGTTCTAAAGTAGCCTATGTGTTTTTTCAGACCATTACTAAATGTGTACCAAATTTCATCAAAATCCATTGAGCCGTTCTGAAGATACCTTCAAACAAACATCCATCCATCCCTAAATCTAAACTTTTCTCACATTTATAATATTAGTAAGATTGATGTGTAAACAAGTGTTGTTGTGTCATAATTAAATATAATCCTTGTAATATGGAACCTTTTACATAAAATTATGATTGTTTTCCTTCAATAATAAGTAATGTTTGTTATTTATTCGGAAAGTCATATTATGAAAGATTTCATTGTCTAAAATAAATTTCAGTAAAGATCCCAACAAACAACCACAGAGCGGATCGATACGAGTTGGGTGCGGAGACTCGGCCTTCCCAGGTTGGGTCTCCAGCATGGGTGCGGGCATTGGCTGCAAGGCCTCTGCGCCCTGCCCCTGCTGCACTGCAGCGGATGAGAGGTCACCAGTTTACAGAGGAATTCATCAAAGATAATGGTATGAATGTTTAAGAATAAGATATAAAATATTCCTAAAATCTATCTTTTTTATCTCTATTTTTTATTTATAGCTTGATTTTTTAAAATACATATTTTAGCCTAGTTTTGGTTAACAGGTTTCACCAGGCCAGTGATATTCCATACACCCGAGGGTCTAGACATCAAAGTGCCCAACCCTGCTACATTCACAGTCAGATCGGTGCTCAGGTTTTGTGGTGCACAACTAGAGGTATATATCATGTTTTTGTAGTTAAAAATAGTAAATTTCATAATAATTTGATGATTAATATTACATTTCATAGTATTTTTCAACTTTTTACTATAAAAAGACAGTCTTGATGTAATAAACCGACTTCAATATTTTAAGCGAGAAATTAGTTCATATGTTTGTCTAAGCATATTTTCTTCATAGACTTTTTTAAAATATATCTGTTTGCCCCTCTGTTGTTGATATAAAACATAGTTATATTTACAGGTGGAGGTAATTGATGTGAGGAAGCAAAGTACAATGCGTATGCCTCTGGGAGACTTTGTGGATTACTTTGAAAGTCCTCCCGAACATCGGGATGAGAAAGTACTAAATGTTCTCAGTTTAGAGTTTTCCGAGACCAAGTGAGTATTTTCATAAAAAATTACACTATATCAAACTATTTCTTGAAATTAATTATAATAATAGTTTTTATTTTCTTATTAAAACGAGATATAATAGAAAATATAATAAATCCAACTATTTGAACTGTTTATCACTAAATTTTGCCAATCGGATAGTAAACTCAAGGTTTTTTCTTCCAGTATGGCTCCCCTAGTGGAACCGCCTTCTATAGCACGCACGTTGGATTGGGCGGAGCGCGTTTGGCCGACATCAGACCGACCACCGAAGCCCTGTGTACAGAAGTACTGCCTCATGTCTGCTGCAGGCTCCTACACAGATTTCCACATTGATTTTGGTGGCACCAGCGTTTGGTATCATGTTCTGCATGGACGGAAGGTAAGGAAGAGCTCGTTAAAGTAGTTTACTTGTTTATTTACTATAATTAAATATTAGATTAACATTATGCCAAATTTCGACAAAGTCCATGTAGCAGTTCCGGAGATTCCTTCAAAAAAACAGCCATGTATCTAAACATTGGCATTGGCATAATATTAGTAAGTTTTTACACTAAACCAACTATAAGTGACCGAATTAGGAGTTGGAGTTTATGAAAAAATCATTCTAATTAGTTATTTCTTTTATCTATAATTATATTATAAGGAGGAATTATTTGACTGTTTGTTTAATTGCATTAAATAGGCTTAGAAACTACTGAAGCAATTTGAAAAATTCTATCACTGTTAGGAAGTTACCATTATCTCAGGGTTACATAGGCTATATTTTCTTCTTTTTTTTAATTATATTTGTTTTTTTTTTGAACAGATATTCTACTTGATACCTCCAACATCAACAAACCTGGCGCTGTACCAACAGTGGACACCGACTAATCAACAAAATGAAAGATTCTTTGGTGATGCAGTAAGTCTTTTATCTATTACCATCTTAATGTGAAATAAAATTAGAAAGTTTATTTCTTTACTAGCTATCGCCCGCGTCTCCATCTGCGCGGAATTAAAAACAAACATAATAAGTTGCTTCTATGTTCTTCCAGACTATGTTCTACATCTATGCCAAATTTCAGCGAGATCCATGCAACTATTCTGGAGATACCTTTAATCAGACATCCATCCATCTAAACATGCGCATTTATAATATTAGTAAAATTTATTGCGTAAGTTTTATTAGCAGCTGTATGATTTTAAAATTCCAGGTGGAATGGTACGGTACAGCAGAAGTGTGTCCCGGAGAGACACTCTTCATCCCGGCTGGCTGGATCCATGCGGTGCTCACACCTTGTGACTCTCTTGTCTTTGGAGGGAACTTCCTCCATTCTTATGCGGTGGAGATGCAGCTGCAGTGAGTCGACTCACAACTCTCTCCTTCTATCTATTCCTATCTCTTTCTAACCTGTTAGGTATAAAACTGGTGTTTTTCAACGGTTTTAAGTGAATTAGAGCAATTTAGGATTTTATTTAAATATGTTTCTGCATTTTTACAATGGAAAATATTGAAAATATTAAGTTTCTTTTAACTTAATTTTAAATTGTTTTATTTAGTATTTATGGATTTCTTTAAAAAACACTGGTCTTATCTTGTAATATTTCTATACAGTTTTATGTTTTCTAACTTTATATAACTAAAACAATACCATAAACTCATAAATGCATGTTGGTTTTGGTGATTTAATTTATTTTTATTTTCTTTTAACTTTTACCTAACTAAGTATATATCTGTTTGGGTTGCATTGACTTATAAATAAATATAATATGTGTTTAATTTAATTCTCTTTTCAGGATCTACTCGATCGAGAGTGGTGTAGAGAGCCCGCTTTGTTGCAGATCGTACGAGCTAGAGCGACGCGCGGAGACTCCCACCACGCTGCGGTACCCGCTCTTTGAGACGATGCACTGGTACGCCGCTGCGCACTTCCTCGCGCTGCTCCGCCGACACAATGAGGAGTCACTGGTATGTATTTGTCAAAAAAATTATAATGTCCTCTTCCAGACTATGTTCTATATATGTGACAAATTTCAGCAATATCCATAGCTGTTTTGGAGTTAACTTCTTACAAATATTCATCAAGTCATTTTCGAATTTATAATATTAGTAAGATAAACCCCTCTAGGTGTTAGTGTTTGTTTATATATGCATCGGATGTGCGCTTGCTAAATTTCTAACTAATGTCGTTGTATGAGAGTTTACTAAGTACCAGCGAAACTCGTGTTTTTAAGTGAATATAACCGGTTTGAAAAAACAATCTTTGGTGTCAGTCTTGGTTGAATTCTATGAAATCATGGTGCTTGGTCATAATATTTTAAAATATTCATTTATAAATGTAAAAAACTCATATTGAAATTGCAAAAATGTATAAAGCGCCATCTATGTGCTTGTTTTTAAAGTTCCAATCTAAATTTGGAATAGTTAATTTATCCATTCTGAATTCCAGGACGAGGAGTTCACGCCGAGCGAGCTGGGGTTCTCGTCAGGTCCGGGGCCGGGTGCTCCGCCCCCCGCGCTGCTGCTGCGAGGCGCACGTATACTTGCTGCTGCTCTCAAAGAGTGGCATACTTTGAAAGCGGTGTGTTATCTATTATCGAATACTTTTTACATTAATTCAAAGATATATAATAAAATAATTAATTTTGTCTTGTTCGCTCACTACTAAAACAGACGGACGCTGCTAAACGGGACAATGTACCAAAGTGTCTCAACTCCGGACAACTTGTACGGGAACTTTCTAAAGAGCTCAGGACTTTGGAGAAGAGGACTATGAGCGCCAACAAAGATAAAGTAAAAATAATTATAATACCAATAAATTGACAACTTTATTATTTTACGATGTTAGTCAGATTATGAACTACCTGAAAAGTATTATTTCTACATAGTTCAAAACAAAGTTGTGAATTATGATTGTTATTTTGACTAAGTTGTCCAACTTTAAATAATTGTACAATTATTTTAAATCATTTTTTTTTAAAATTAATTTCTGTCAGTTTATAATATAGCGAAGTAAAATAATTTGTGTTTATGGGCTTATTTTATATTTCAGGATTTCAAACCTAAAAGTAATTCACCAAATAAAACTACAAAGAAACAACAAGCACAGAAGAAATCTCTTAAATTAACATTACCTAAGCCAATAATGCATATGGGACAAAATGGAGAGTTTAATGATGATAAAGTTTACCCAGATAAGTTCTATGTTGATAAAGAAGTGTACGAAGAGAGATATGTTGCAGATGTAAAATATAATAGTTTACCAGACGCTAAGTATATATTAGAAAATAAGGATATACCAGAGAAATTTACCTATCAGAATTATGAGGAACATAGCTATCAAGACAATGGATATGTCGATAGGATAGATAAGAAAATTTTAAAAGTTAAAATCAGGTAACTAACAAAATGTTATTTCCCTCCATACATTTTAGTATCTTACTAATATTATAAATGCGAATGTTTGGATGTATGGATGTTTGTTAAAAGGTATCTTTGGAACGGCTGCATGGATTTTGCATATATGTAAAACATAATCTTAAAGAACATATAGTAAGTAAACATTTATTTTCTAAATCTGAGCGGACGGGGTCGCGGGCGATAACCTTCTTTGAATGTCACCTGACGTTAGTTACTACTAATGTGGTAGAAATTATGGTTAAAATCTTCTCCAGCAGTAATTCGCCTTCATCATCACGTGAGGAAGCTCCCCCTCCGTATACTCTGCCGGAGCACTCCATCCTCAAGTCCCACCTCATCCGGTCAGACCGCACCACACTGAAGCCTCTCCAGCAATGGACCATATCTAAGAAGGATATCGGAGATTATCATGAAGAACAGCTGCTGTTCACAAATGAAAATCTACAGACAAATATCAGGATTGAGGGACAGGATCTGAATTATGGACCAGGTTAATAATTTTTAGTGTAATTTCCAAATTTTTTTTTGTCTTTACAATAATTCCTTTAATCATTTTGTTACAAAAATTGCGATATGTTTATGTATGAATAGCTAATATTTATCGTTGTTTAAGAAATAGTGTTTTAAAGTCATTTTATAAGTTACGAGTTTCAAACAAAATATTCAGTTTGTTTTTTACTTGTGCTTAAGGAATGTACTCAGCGGAAGACATCCAACAAGACTACCAATACTCCGAGGGGGCAAAGCCTGGTTCGTACCAGCCCGAGTTCGCGTACCAGGCGGAGCTGCCATACGCCACGGAGTATCACCGGTACGACGAGACAGTCGCCGTACCCGTACACCAGGTACATACCAGTTTATGCAAAAGAGACTCGACAACATTTAGTAAATTCTTTCTAGTAACCTATAAATTTATATGCTTCTGGTTATGTTTCAGACTGCTACATACACAACGGTGCCGGCTGAGCAAGTGGCGTACCAGACCCAGGTGCACCACACCACCACACCTCTGCCCTCGTATGATGCAGCCATTGCTCATCAGTATGCCGCCACTACTTATGTAAGTTGACTTTTAAACCTTTTTCCACTAAGCAACTAGCCGTGACTGTGCTGTGTAGCTAGTGTCAGTGGAAATTATGTTAACATTGCTTATAGTAATCTTAAGTTAGATCCTAGATAGTATTTACTTACATAATAGTAAGAAAATATCAAATGGACAAACTTTTATAAATATACCAAATTCACAAACCATTTTTTTCTTTAATAACGTTATGAATTCTGTTTACTATAATTTGATATACTTATTAATTATATCCCAGGTAACAGAAACCCCCAAAACTGAGATCAGCCCTGTACCGGCGGGGACCCCCAGTGTGCGCAGGTCAGAGCGCGCGGTGCGGCGGCGCGTCTCCAGCACATATGACTACGAGGACGGCGATCTCTTTATTGACGACGCGCCCGCCCCCCGGCGACGCAAACCACCCCCCAAACACCGACCTCCTGCCCAACATACTGTACCAGGTGCGAATCAAGATCTGTGATTTATTTATCTGGGCAAGTAAGAATGCGCTATTATTCCAGTTTGTCTTGTCAGAAAATAGGTAAAACATATGACAGGAAAAACCCTATAATTGACAGAGGACGATTTCACGCCGTTGTAATTAAGTCTTACTTACCCCACCGGGTCAAATAAGTTTGTCAAATAATTAAGGCTTGTGAATGCTGCCACTTAATTATATATACAATAAAGAGAGTTTTATGTTTGTTCAGTGAGCAACAGCAGCGGGTATCGCGGCTCGCGGCCGGCGCCAGCCAACGGCATCGAATCTCTCATACAGGCATCCGTGCTGGCCGAGGAACCCGGCAATGCTACGTGAGTCTAACTCAACAATAATGACTACATAGAGAAGTTATATTAAAAAAACAGTATTAAAATGTTGGTGGTTCCCATTGGACTATCAGGCATACTAATCCAGTTGACCTAATTACATTTTTTATCTCATTGGCCTCACGTCTCAATGAGACGTACTTAGTTAAATTGTTTTCTTTATTTAATAATGCTTGTACAGTGAGGATGCGGCAGTGGCGGGCATGCTGAGCATTAGTGAGCGGTATGCTGCACCCGCGCGTACCTTCGGCCTGGCCAGCGACACCCCGCCCGCAGGCGCGCCCGCTGACACCAACACCAGGCTCGACAGGTACTGACCATATACCATATCAGTATACATTGTTCAACTTTATATTTCTTACTATCTTACTTCTTACTAATGTTATAAATGCGAATGTTTGGATGGATGGATGTTTGAAGGTAGCTCTGGAACTGTTCAACGGATCTTGATGAAATTCGACATAGATGTA